TATATTTTAAAAATATGTATTATCAAAACCTAAATCAGATAATATTATCATTGATTGAATAATCATTTCTACATTTAAAAATATAAGCCAATTATTTACATTTTAGTTATTTTATATAATTACTTATTCTAATTATTACTATAAGTCTTTAAACTCTTAGCTTTTTTAGATATATTTAATTCTTATTTCATTGTTTTAGACACTTTTTTATTATTAAATCTATAATAATTTAATTCTATATTAATAAAATTTATTTGTAGGCTTGCTTTTTAAAACTTATTTTGGTAAGATTTAAATTTAAGTATTTTCTTTTTTAAATTAGAAGCTATTTAAAATAGGAATTATTTACTTCTTAATTTTATTTTTTAAACTTAATTTTGATTATAATTATTCTATTACATTAACTTTAAGTGATTAATTTAAAGATTTGTTTTAGTACTAAGTAATTACCGAAATATTAGTTTCTTTTTAAGATTCTTAATTATTTTTTTCTAATTTACTAGTACTACTTTCATTTTTTTATGAATGTATATTTTCTCTCGATTTTTGTTTATCTTTTCTATATAAACTTAAGTTTTTACTATATATATAATTATCTATTTTTAAATTCTTTTATTAATATTATATATAAGTTTAATCTATTTACTATTATGCAATATTTTCTTATAAAACACCTTTAATAATATTTTATTCTTATAATTAATATTGTTTTTTAATATTTCTATTAAAATAAAAAATTATTTTAATATTTTTATTTTTTTAAATATATTTTTGGATATATAATTATATACATATTTTATTTTATTTTACATTTTTCTAAATTCAGAAATTGTCATTTTTCTTTAAATATTATAAAATATTTAATTTTATTATTTTTAAGAAATTTCAGTTTAGCAAGAAAAAACTCTTTTTTTGTTTATAATTTTGCCTATTTTTTATGTATTTTAATAAGCATTTTCAAGAATACATCTATGAAATTATTCTAAATTATATTCAGAAGCATTATTTTTTACTTTACTACATATTACTACTGTAAAATTTTCTCCACATCCGACATCTATGCATTTAAATTTTTATAATTTTTTAACTTAAAAAGGATAATTATATTCTTTTATTATATTATGCCCAAGACAATTATTAATACTATATAGAATAAAAATAAAAATAAATATTTTAAAGTATATTAATATATATGTAATAATTACTTCCTTCCCCATGTATATATGTATCCTTAATCATCAATTGCTGCATTCTAATATTTAAAACTAATAATTTTTATCATATGAGTGCCTATTTAATCTTTATTAATTTTTTTAGGTCTTAAACAATCCTATTAACATAAATATTCTTTAATAAATATTATATAAAAAAATACTATATTTAAAGATTTATCTGATTTAATTTCTACATAATTTGTATTCCCCCAAGTATATATTTCACCTTTATAATTTAAAGCACAACTATGTCTTTCTCCACAACTACCTTATATAATTTTATCATCATTAAAAGCTTTAATCTATTTAAAATAATAAAACTATATGTTTATATATATATACAATTTAAGGTTAAGAAATAGTATAATTATATTCTCCTTTATAACATTAATGACCTAATTTCCCATCTTATGCGTTTCCCCAAGAATATAAAAAACCTTATGTATCCCATAAAAGGCAATGATTTTTTCCACAAGCTATTCCAAGAATAATTATTTTTGGTATGTTTATTTAATAAATTTAATCTGTGTAATCTATATTATATTATGATAATCCTAATCTTTCTATTTATATAAATTTACTGTTTTATTAATATATGTATTATTTAAAATAATAAGTTATTATATGTATTTTTTACGTTTATCTTCTTTTCCGAAAGAAAATAAATGGGTTCTATTTATTACGACTAGTGAGAAATTATCACTTGTGCAAATGTGAGTGTATTTTAGACTTTAGAAATCTTCTTCTTCATTAAAATATTGTTTGAAGTTTTAATGTTTTATTTTTTTGGGTTTTTTATGTATTCTTTCTTTATGTAATAAACCTTTATTTTTTTACTATTAAATATTCTCTTTCTTTTTTTTTTTTAATATATATAAAATAAAACCTTAACAACCATATTATGTATTTCCCCATGAATATAAAGTCATTTTATCTATATTTTTAATTTTTATATATAATTTTTGAATATAATATAGTTATACTTGATATAGCTAATACATGAGAAGAATATGAAGATATTTAATAAAATTATTTATCTTAAAATCTAGAAAGATTAAAAGGAATTTTTATTTTATCAATTATTAAGTCTATTCCTAATTGGCCTTAATTACATTCCCCGAAAACCCAAAGTTCGCCTTTGTTATCAAGTAAAAAAACAGATTTTTGAGAACATATAACTTTCTAAAATTATAAACTTTTTTCGTTTATTGTTTAAATTATTTCAAATTATTTTTAATATGATTCATTATCATTTATAATATCTTCATTGTTAAAAATTGCATTATATTTAAAAGAAATTTATTTAATTCTTTAATTTATATCTAACTTAAAAAAATAAAAAAATATTACATTTCAGTAAAATTTGTATATTTTTAAGGAAGTATTTCCTCATTTCCAAAAAAAAAACTGTATATTAATTTAAAAAATTTTAAATAAAATAAAATAAACCTGATGTCATTTAAAATATATCAAATATTAAAATATTTTTATTTTTTTTATTTAATTGCTTCTTTTTGCAATATTACTTTTTTTTTATAAAAAAAAACAATTAAAATCGTTTTAATAAATTTTTAAAAAAAATTAATACAAGAAAAAATATAAAAAATGATTTTTTATTTACCTAATGTAAAAAATAAATTATTTATTTAAAAAATTTGTTAAAAGATAAAGAAATTTAAAAAAATATTTTTTTAGATTTATATTATTTTATAAATATTATATAAAATATTTATTAATTAGAAAATATAAAATTTAATATAAAAAATAAAGTAATAATATCATAAAATATATATATATATATACATATATATATATATATATTAAATTACAAAAATAATATTAATATAAAAGGAAATAAATTTAATTGTTTATATTAATTATTTAAAATGGATGTCAAATATAGACCAGCAAATGATGATAGGTATATTCAAAAAAATAAAAATAAATATCAAATAAATAGATTTGAATGCGAATATTTAGAAAATAATTTATTAAAATGTCTAAAAGAAAAATCTGTATAAGATAATGTTAAAAAAATGACATGCAAACCAGAAGAAGTATATTATAAAAATAAAATAAAAAATATATGTATATTTAAATGTTTTTTAAGCTCTTATGGTTTTTTGTAGAATGTCCAACAAAAGTTGCTTTATATGAAAATCCTTAATCCCTTAAAAAATATTTATTGATTAAAATTAAAGGAAACAGGAAAAAAAGACGGAATACTTAAAAAATGATATTATATATTATAGAAAGAAATATATAAAAATATATATGCTTATATATAAATATATATATATACATATATATATATATAATGATATTTTTAATGATATTTTTTTTTTATATAAATTAATAATTTATATTATTATAAATATATAATTATTTATTAATACAAAATTTTTTTGAAAAAATCATATATATTTATTTTTTATTAAGATAAAAAAAATATTAATTTAATAAAAAAAAATATATATATATAAATATTTATTTTTATTTTATGAATATATTTCATAATTTTATTTTATTTTATTTTAATTTTTATTTAAATATATTTTTTATTAATTATATTTTTTTTTTATAATATATATAATTAAAAAAAAAAAAAATATATTTTATATTTAATTATTAATTTTTTTTTAAACATAAAAAATATAAATAATTTTATTAATTTAAAAATTATATAAATAATTTTATTACTTATTTATTTATTATTCATTAGTTTATCCTTTTATATATACTTTAAAATACTTGTGTTTTATATTTTTATATTTAGTAAAAAATAAATTTTAATTTATTAATTCAATCTATATATTAATATATTAATATATTAATAAAAAAAATATTTAATATATTTAAATAGATTTATTTATATATGTAAATAATATATAAATATATTTAAATATAAATATATAAATTTAATGACATAAATAAAAATAAAAAAAATTTTCAAATATATTTATATATATATATATATATTTATATTTTTTATATATATATATTAATATATGTATATATAAAATAAAAAAAAATTCTTAAATTCTTATATAACTAATTTTTATATATTATTAAAATATTTATTTATATTTATTATACATAAAAAAAAAAAATTATTTATATAAATATAAAATATAAATATATAAATAATTATTTAAATTTATATTTTAATTATTTGAGTCTATATGTATAAAAATTAAATATTTTTTTTTTTTTTTAAATAAAATACCTTATATTTCTGATAAGCAATTAGGATATTTTTAAGATATTCTTTGAAACAAACTTTTATTTTACTATAAATATTTCTAATAAAATAAATCAAATTTATGAATAATTAATATGTATTATTTTTTTACAATATATCCACCCAACACACAATATTAAGAAACTAATATAGGTCCTAAAACTAATGGTTCAGGTTATTATGAAGAATCTATAATTAAACTAAAATCAAAATTTATTTTATCACTATCTATAAATAAAAATATATATTTTATATATAATTAAAGATATATAAATATATTAAAAAAAAAAATTTATAAGAAAAAATATTAAAAATAAATATTAAAATAATAAATATATATAAATTAATATATATAATTTTATTTATTTTAAATATATATATATATATATATATATATATATATCCATATATATAATACTATAAAGTTTATTATTTGTTCCAATTATTGTTGTAAAAAATATAGTTTTTTTATTTAAATAATTTTAGAATTCATCTATATTTTCCCAATTTGAATTTTTATAAATTATATTTTCTTCTAAATTTTGTTTTAATACTATTGATTTGCTTTAGCTTTTTCTTACAGAAAAATCAATTAAAAAAGGATATTTTTACATAACATTTATTATTAACTTATCTAAATCTATATTATTAAAAGAACATATTAGAATTTTTTTTTTTCTTGATAAAGAATATGTATTAAATCTGAAAAAAAATCCAATTTTTTTTTCTCGGAATAAAATAGAACACAATTAATTGAATTTCCATTTAAAATTTTACTAAAAATATCATCAAATTTTTCTTCTTTTACATAACTAGGCTTTTTTTATTCTAAAATAACCTCTAATAACTCTTTATTTTACACTTTGAGTTCTTCGAAATCAACAATTTATAATTAAAGCTTCTTTGGGTTTACTAAATATACATAATTAAGAATAAAATTGAAAACATTATGCCTTTATTCACCCAAAAAATTTTTTTATTAGATTTCTAAGATAAAAATCGAATTTTCATTTTCTTGTAAAAATTAAGAACTTTTTATATTTAAAAATAGCTTATTTTTATCAATAGATTTTTGTTCTAAAATTCCTTTAAAAAAACTGGATTTTTTTCCTTTAAAATTTAAATTTTCACCAATTTTGATTTTTTAAAAAATTTCTTAAATAAAAACTTCATTTTCATTTTCCAAAAAAAAAATGAAATTTTCACCTTCTTTTTTCATTTAAAATTCAAAATCTTCCAGAAATTCGCTAAAAACATCATTTTTGTTGTTTTATTATTCTTTTTCCAAATAAAAAAACCAATTTTTTAAATACTACCTACACTAAAAATCCAAACATCTAAAAAATTCATGAAAATCTTCAAATTTTTAGCCTAAAAAATATCCATTATCCCCTAAATCTTCTAAATCTTTTATTTATTCGAAATCTTAGCAGATCTACTATGCATAACACTCTTATTTAAAACTACAATAGGTACAATTTTCAGGTTTTTCCTAATCTATGGGAAAAACCACTCCCTTTTCATTCATATTTTTTATCATTTTAGCCAACTTATTTCTCCTTTGTAACAAGCTGATAGTTTTTGACCTTAGAGGAGATATAGTAACGATTTAATTCATCTATAAATAATACAAGAAGGCTTCGAGATTATTTTTTTCTTTATTTTTTTAACTTACCAAAAGACAATAATAGATACTTTAATTATTATAAATTTCCTGTTTTTTACCTCCAGTCTTCAATTCAAAAGGGATAGCACATTAGTATGTTTTTTTAGTAAAGAATTCTTCAATTTAGCACATAAAAAGGCAGTCTATTTGTCCTTTTAAACCTAGATTTTTATCTGTAATAGAAATTTCATTTTATATTAAATAAAGAATTTTTATTTTGCGTTTAGAAGGGCAAGTTTCAATTGCTTATTATTCATAAAAGTATTTTTTAAGAAAATCAAGTATATTTTTGGTTATTTAAACTATTTCTTATTTTATGTCTATAAAATCTTTATTTAATAAAAATAAATCTTCAATGTATTTTTTGTAGAGATCTTTTAAGATTTCGTCTATTTATTATTTCTCGATTTCTTCATTAAAAAGGTTTTCTTGTTTTTCTTTTTGTTATGTGTAAAAAGACATTATATTTTCAAATAATTCATGAATAATAATTCCTTTTAACATTGCCCAATTCATATTTTCTTTTGCACAAAATAATAACTTTATTAATGGTCTTCGATAGCAAGGTTCTTTTCATAAATATATATATAAATACATGTATAAATATATATATTTATATATATATATATATATATATATATATTCAATATATATATATTTCTATTCTCTTTTTTTTTTAATTTTTTTTTTTATATACGTGACATAGCAATTAAAGTGGGGTATAAGATAATATCAGGTTCTAAAATAATTACATTTGTTGAATTGAAAAATTCTTATATAGTATAAGTACCGTCTTTTATATGATTAATATTTTAATAATCATGTACTAATGTAATAAAGAGTATTTTTTATTTTAAACTTTAATATTAAAAATTTCCTATTAGAGCTAATTCATCACCAATTTCATATTCTAAAGATACAATTGAATTTCCTAATAAAAGTAAGGAAATTTCTATTTTTTCTAATTCCAAAAATTCTTCTTTCGTAAAAAAATCTTCATTTTTTTTAATTATTTCTACATTTATATATTTCATATTATTTATTTAATTTAATTTCTTTCCTTCACAATTAATATCTTTTTCCATCATTTATTAAAACATATCTATATATTCTTTTTTTACTTAATTTTTGTACAATATGTTCGTTATTACGAATCTTTTACTTTCCCAAAGATTTAATTTTTATAATAGGCTTTAGGTTTTTTTTATGTTTTCACTTATTTTTATTAAGCCTTCGATATTTGAGTCTGATTCGTCATCTGAAATAACTGCTTTGAAATATAAAGAAGTATCTATATCAATTTTTTATTCCTCGTTTCTTATTTAAGAATGTTTTTCATAAGTTTCTTAAGTATTTTTTGGGTTAAAAATTTCTTCTAATTGATTTTTCTCTAATATTTTTGTTGATTATTAAGTATTTTTTTAAAGATTAACTTTGTTTTTGGTAAAATATTAATCGATTTTTGTTAGTTTTTTGTTTGAGCTTTTTTATAAAATTTTTTAAGACATTTTTTTTTATTTTTTTTTTAATTTAAAATAAAAAAAAAATTGCGCCTTAAAATTTTTGATTATAAAAATAAACAAATACATATAAATTAAATTTATTAAATATTTAATATATATAAATATATAATTATTCAAATATATTTATATATTAATGTAAATTTCTATATATTTAATTATTATTATTTTTTAAATTAAAAGCAACGAATTATTACAATATTTATTGTCTAAAAAAATAAAAGAAAAACATCTTTTTTTTTTATTATTATTATATTTTTTTTTTATTTATTTATATTTTTTAAAAAAATATAAATTTTTTTTTTTTTATTTTTTTTTTCTATTTATTTATTATTAATATATATATATATATATATAAAATATGCCTTCTTTATCATCAAAAATCTTCTTAACCAAGAATTTCATTGCATTATTTAAGAATTTCATTTCTTTTTCTTCCCAAATAATACTCTTCTCCCACATTACACATATCGAAGAATCTTTTATTATGTTTCTATTTAAAGATAGTACTAAAATATTAATAAGCTGATAGACCAACAACTGGAAGAGGCCACCAAACCATCTTTTTAGTTGCATAAATTCTCCATAAAAGTACTAAATTTGCAGTTGCTGCGGCATATCCAGCACTATTTAATTAAACAAAATAACGATATTCACGTTTTGCAATATATGCCCAATCACGTTCGACTTATGTTTAATAAAAATTACTATCAAAGTTTACTATGAATTTCTATACGAAATCTTTTCTTAATTTTGAGGCTTATAATTCTTTATCGGAATATCCTCTTTGGTATTCTAATTCTTCCTTTTCGAATAAATATCTTCTGGTTGAATATGACTATTTTTTTTTATTTTAATTATTATTATTTTTATTTGTTTTTTTTTATTTTTTAAATAAAAGAAATATATTAAATTTATATTTATTTTATTATTATTTTTTCCTTTTCAGTTTAGATTTAATTTATATTGTTTATATATATTATATAAATTATTAAAATTAGTTATTTTAATTCTTATTTAATAAAAATAATATATATATATATTATAATAATATAAATATTTATTTTTGTATATTTAATAAAAATTTTTATTAATAAAAATATACAGATATATCTTATAGGAAAAATATCTTCAAAAAACATTACAATTATCATTTTATTTTTTTTCACTAGGTTTATCAATTTTAAAATCTGATTTATTTTAAATATTATTAAATTTATTTTAATTTTAATTAATATTTAAATTTTTTTCAAAAGTTTTAGATCTAATTGTATTTCCTTTAAAAATAAAAAGATATAAAAAAAAAATAATAAAAAAAATTACCATTAATAATACTAAAATTATTTTATCGAGATTATTATTATTATTATTATTATTATTATTATTATTATTATTCTTAAATTTATTTTTATTGCTTTTTTTATTATGTTATTAATTTATTTTCATCATGTTTATTATATTAATTATTTTAAATATTATCTTTTTATACTTATTATACACTAGTATTAATAATTCTATTTTATTTAACTTTTTTTTATTAATCTTATATATCTTATATATAATTTATGTTTTTACATTTTATATCTTTTTATTATTATATATCTGGTATTATTTATTATTAATGAATATAAACAGGTTATCTTTTTTAAATTTACATCTATTAATTACTATATTCTCTACTATTTTAAATATTATTATTTAATTGTACACTTTAATTAATCTCAGCTTTTTAATTAGATTAATGTTTTTCATCAATTTAGTCATAAACTACATAAGAAACTTCATTTTATTTTTAAATAGGCGAGTAGGCTAATAAAAAGCTATTATTATTATATTATTATTAAATAGGAGATTATATCAATATTTAGTATTATTATAATGGATATTATTAAATAATTAATTGCTATTATTATTAAATAGGTGATTATTAAATAAATTATTGCTATTATTATTAAATAGGTGATTATTAAATAAGTATTTATTATTAAGGAATAGATTATATAGTATTTTAATTGAATAAATAATAATCATTATTATTTGATTTTTATTAAGGACTAATTAAAATTTATTGAATTTTTTATTTTTATTTATCAATGCCTCTATTTATATTTTCATTCGTTTTTAGTATTTTTTTTTATAAATTATTTTTATTATTATCATATATAATACTATATTCTTCTACTTCATCTGTTTCTTAATTTATTTCTAAATTTGGTGAATTATTTTTCGATAATTTTTTCTTTTCTTACTTTTCTTATGTTCCCAAAATTTAATTTTTATATTTACTATCCGTAAATTGACTTTTTTCTGAATTTTTACTATTTTTTAAATAACTTTGATTATTTATACTCTACTAAATTTATTTTTATTCGATATAATTAGGCATTTATTTTCTCAAACTATTCAATTATAATTAAATCATAGCCTAAGTTTGGTATTTTTCCGTACTTGCTGGTACCTTTTATATTAAAATAGGACTTTCTTTAACTTAAGAATCTCCTAAAATAGTATCATTTATATAAAAGCTATTATTTTATATATTTTTTAAATTTGATTTAATTGATTAATGTAAAGAACTTTATTTTCTTAAAGGACTTGTATATATTATTTTTTGTGGAGAAATTATAAAACTTTCTTGTTAGTTAATAAGACTTGTTTCCAAAGGAAATTTTGTCATATCACTTCTTATAATTATTTTTTATAAAGGAGAACATTAAATAATTTTCTATAGATTTATATTTTTATTTTAAGGAGATTATTAATCTTATACAATTATTTAAGGAGAATGTTATTATTATTAAATTAATCTATATTATTATTAATAAACTATTCTCTAAGGATTATTATTATTAATAAATTATTCTCTAAGGTGATTATTATTATTATACTATAATTTAAGGGCAACACTCGATAACATTTATAACATTTTAATAACCTGAATATGGTATAATATTAATTAAACCTTAAGGTGAATTTTATATAATATTTATTATTCTTTAAGGCGAATATATAATAGTTTAAGGAGTATTTTATATAGTATACAAATATTATTATTATTATTATAATTATTATTATTATGATAATTATTATTATTATTATTATTATTATTATTATTATAATGTGTTTTGAGATTTTAAGGGCGATTATTATTATTATAATGTGTTTTTTTGAGATTTTAAGGGCGATTAATATATATCTTTATGATATTAGGCACTATTTTCTTTTTAAGAGATGTATTATAGACTTTAATTTGTTAAATTTTTGAGTTTATTTTCTATTTCATTTTTGCGTTTTTCGAATTCTTCGGAATGTTTGTTGAATTTTTATTAAATTGGTAAATATTCGTCCATTATATTTTTTATTTATTTTTCTTAGATAAATATTGTTTCTGTTTAATTTAATTCTGGATTTATTATTTTTTATGAGAAAAAGATACATTATTAATTTTTTTCTTGTTA